TAGACAATTTGCCCATCTGATAACAGAATAATGTCATCAAACAAGTCGTAGGTCTCGGGTGCTAGCTGCAAGAGAGATATAATAGCAGTTCCGTTCATGATTTGCACAAATTGCCTTAGAGAGTTAACAATGGAGTAAGTGGTGGAACTGTCCAATCCAGTTGAAATTTCATCCATGAAAAGTGCCTTTGACGGTCCAACAAGCATTTCACCTGTTGTCACACGCTTCTTTTGTCCTCCTGAAATACCCCTTATCATTTCATCTCCCACCAAAGTATCGGCACAAATTTCCAACCCCAACAACTGCAGATGGAATATACAAATCACTTAGTTATCAAATTTCTTCTGTCTTTTTATTGTCAAAAATTTAGAGAAAATTATTGGACATAATTTTGTTACCTTAAGAACATAATCTGTAACAACATTGGCTTCTTGTCCCTCTGTTGCTGCTGCCTATGTTGTCACAAAACAATTAAGGTTATAAGCACTGGCGTCGGTATTGCTGTTTCCTTAAATGCTAGTCTTTTTCCTTCATAAAGATATCAATATCAGGATCTGGCTTGATTTTAGCTGCTTTCTCTCTTCTTGACAGTTCGGCCAACATATCTGCAAATGTTTTCCAAGAAACACAGAATGCTTTTTTATTGAAGAAGAGATTGGAAAAAGAAAAATCAAAATTTTAAAAATCAAATGCTAACCATAACGAGAGCCAACTCCCTGGCATCTGAGAATTTCAACGTTTCTCGCACAGTCATTTCTCCAATGTGTAAATCATGCTGGCTAATATAAGCAGCAGTTCTTTGTGGCACAAATTTATTCATTTCATGTCCATTATAGGTCACTTTCCCAGTAACCTGATTTCCACAACCAAAAAATATTCAGAAAATTAGAATTTGTTGTTTTATTACACACGTTTGGTTGTGAGTTTAAGTTCTATGCACTATAAGTCTATTGTAATAGAATTAATTGGTAGCCTAGTAAAATTAGTAACTGATCTTTACACTATCAGTATATATATAACGTAAATCCGTTTGATACATAAAGCTAATGGTCTTACCTTAGATTTTTACCTCAAGAAAATTTTCATGAAGTTGGTAAATGTAGGCAAACCTCTGCTTCCTATATATGCATCTGCCTCAATATTTAGATGCTCATATCTTACTTCTATTGATG